TTGAATACTAAAATTCAAATACATTTACTAAGCACTGGATGAACTAATTTAGTATTCTGAATTATACAAATCAAATGGCACACTTGCTAATATTTTGCTGACCTCATTAATTCACTCCGTGAACCACAGAATCTCTAATTCAGTAAGAGTTAAAACCCCACAAATCTACTAGATCTGCTTTTCTATCAAAGTTTTCTGTTGTTTATGATGACCTAAGATATGTTTTGCACATTAAAATAGGAGGCAAATAGCAGTACATGAGTAACTAACACTTCTATCTTCAAGGGATGTTACCTGCCCTGATAACGGGATTATATTCAGATAAGATTTAGTTTAAAAAATTAAGAACTCACTTTTTCACATAACCAGAAATGTGAAAAAAAATCCAGTATACAGACTAAATAAGACAGAGCCTTGCACTGCTCTATATCATTTTTATATAACTTTACTACCTGCAAATAAGAAATTATGGGAGTATGCAGATAATCACAAAATGCAAGCAAATGTGTTTCTCTTCTTTAAAAAACAATGTTTTGAATTCTTCTATTCTTTATAAATAAAAAGCTTTCAGTGCAAATATTTTAAACAATATAAAATGAGGATTATTTTCAGGTTTCTTATTGAGCATTTTAATTGAAAATGAAATAAATTGAAGTTCAATTAAGTTCAGTGCAAATATACCTGAAACGTTAAACATAAATAAATATATTTATATTATTGTAGAAATCATTGGGGTCATGAAATTATAGAATTTTTGGACTGCAGTGACCTTTGGCTATAAGGAATAATGTTTTTAAAGTAAAGGAAAAATATTAGAAATCTATCTGGTTAATGTCTGTACTTTCAATTATGTTCTAATGATTTACGTGAGCTATAAATAGTCAGTATTTAGTCATGGTGGGAAAAATTGAGTCCACACTGAGCTGTGATGTGACCATGGTAAGGATACAATGTAATTATATAAAATGAAAATTCAAATATATGAATACCTGTCCAATAGCCACACATTTTGAACAATTGTTGCATTTGTTTTGAAATATGGTATTTATCAAGGCAAGAATAAAAAGTACAAAAATGAATAGAAAGAATAAGAATTATTAGCAAGTATCTGATTAATTATACCTTCAATATGGATGGAAGGGGAAGGGATGAAGGAATTTAGGATTTTTCTGCATATGACTATAGCTTTTCATTTGGTGAATAACCCTTCAAACCTTTGGATTTTATTTCACAAAACTGGAATTGTATCCATGCATAAATGCTACCTATCAACTAAATAAAAAGCTGTAGTATTAGAAAAGAAACCTTAATAGAAACCAGAGCAAGAAATTTAAAAATCAGTAATATAGTTAATGTGAAAAATCACCTTTTTAAGCCACTGTACAATGAAAACTGCAGCATTTTTTTCATGAAGTGATAGATCATCAAAACTGTAATTTCGTCAGAGTAACTGGTTTCCTTATATCTTAAAACTACACATTCAAATCTTGGTTTAGATAATTTGTCACTTGATCTAATTTTTACAAATCTTAGTTATTTAGCCTCAAATACAAATGTTTAGAGGAGGACTGATGCAAGGGGCCCTTTTTTTTATTCTCCTAAATAAACACATATTGCAGGTATAGCACCTGAAGACCTGTATGAGTGACAAGGATTTTCTGTATGGAATGCATTATTTTGAGGGCTATATTATTTTGGGTCAATGAGTGAAGATAATCTACACATTTTTTTCACCAAACAAATCTATTTTGCTTTGAGGCAATATTCATTTTCAATGAATAGCAAGCAACAAGTTCTACATTAAACCTATTTGAAAACAGGAGGGTTTTTTTTGAAGAAGTGCTTAATTTGAAAATTTTGTTTTTAATTCTGATTCTGTACTAAGATCTTCTACAGTTCTTTTTCTTGTCAGTGCATGCCTATCTCAGGTCACAGAACTGCCCAATTTTTGATAACTGATTCAAACTATTGTTTCTATTATTGATAATCAATTTGTCTCTAAAATTCATCTGGCAAATCAGCCTTATAAAACCAAGTTATTGCTTAAACAGATTAAACTTAAATTATTGACTGATTTTCAGTAGTTATAAAAATGATTCTTTCTCATGATAATATCGTATATATCCAGGTTCTGTCTTCTCCTATATTTTTGTATATTATTTCTGATGAAATTATTACTTTTTATTTTACTAATTCAGTCTCCTGTTTGGAAGAAACTACTATGCTAATGGGGATTATTAACTTAAAACTACAATTCCATATGTGCATCTCTTTAATTAATCAGTACAGTTATGTGGAACTAATTTACACTCAAATCTATAGAATTTTCTTCTGATTAAGTTGTTTATGCTCAAGAAATTATCCTTCTGGACTCATGATTAGGATGATACCTAAATAACATATGAGAATTTTCTCCCTTCTTTAATTTGTGCTCATATTAATTTTAACATGTTTAAACAATGATAGTTTTAAAAATTATGCACATTGTAGCAATTGTTAATCTAAAAATGTGTCCCTATTGCTTAAGTCATTTATAGATCACTGATCCGTGCTTAGATGAAAATAAATCCCACAGGATGCAGTGGGGACTTTGGAATGGAACAATTTGCCACAGCCAATTCGCTGCGGCCAACTCATCACAGCCAACTCATCATGGGACAACTCACCATGGCCAACTTGCTATGGGACAACTTGCTGAAGGACAATTTAACAATTCAATTTAATCAAATTGTGTGTGGCAAATTGTCATAGACCCATGGGACTTATTTCAGAATAGACATGAATAAGGTTGTGCTATATAGCAGAAGTTGTGACTTACATTGCCAGAATTTAAATGTCAAATTAACGATGTTGAGCAAGGAGTGTATCACAAAACATTATTAAATCCAGCGTCCTGCCCCTGAACACATTATATAAAGTTATACAAGACTTTATATAAAGTTATTTCCATTGATTTCTACATAGAAATGCAATCTCATAAGATTTAGTTGAAGCAAAGATAATTTAAAATTTACCTAAATGTTTTCTTCTTGACTCTCCATTTGCATATTATTTTCAGATAATTTTCATTTGAAACTAGGAATTATGTACCATGATTCACAGGAAAGAAATTTCTTAATATAATAGTTATTAATCCAATGTAAGTAGGTACATAAAAAGTACTGTTTAAGGTAATTTTCAAAAATCTGCTAAAAACGGAAGTGCTCAACAAAAACATGCAATTCTGAATGTCTTCCCCTATTTTGTGAAGTAGAGATTGCAAAGCATGGTCCCTATCTTTAATGTTTTTAAAGATGAAAAGAGGGAAGATTATTTGTCCTTTTATAAGAAAAAAGAAGGTTTAGCATTTAAGTAAGAGATTTGATCTATATTTCAAAAAGGATAAAAGATCTTACAAAACCAATCTCTGCAAGCAATTCTTTAAATAAATGCCCTTTTTCTAGATATTTCCAGAAACTATAGACAAAATGATATTTTATCATTCAAATGGTATAAATAGTGTTAAAATACTTCCTTCTAAAATTAATTCATTTAAACTTTAGATGGAACTCAAAAGTCTTAGAAAATAATCTGACTTCCGAACAGCTCTTCATGTGGCACAATATGGACAGAATATGGTGGAAGATATCACATATATTATCACTCAATTTCAAGGTGCTATTTTCAAAGTAATAAAAGCATAAAGGAAACAACAGAAAATATGGTGACACATATTTTTCTTATAGGACCACCTCATCTTTACCCTTTTATATGAAAGTAGGACATCTAACCTTAACAGTCTTTATTAATAATAAGGTATGAATGTGTGTGTATACACACATTCAGTTATATAACTGAGCAGATATTAGTGGCAGTGTACGCAAAAAAAGAGAAGAAAATTATGTTTAAAAAGTTACAATTTTCCTTCCTTCTGTTTTTGTACAGAAATACTGTGTGTGTGTATGTGTGTATAATTCTACCTGGTAAACACGTCTGTCCCCTTAAAAAAACTGAATAAAAAAAATCTTGAGAACGTTTTTTAGTCTTTTTTTCCACTTGTCTTTACTTTATCTGTCTCATCATGGATAGGGTTGACGCAACCTTTTTTATTTTATCTCTAAAATTTTTAGAAAGTAATCCTTTCCTTATACCTAGATTAGGAGGTGAAAAAGACTCTTGATCTTTTCTTTTTGCTATTTCTCTTTGACATTTGCAAAGTCCCCACTCTGTGTCATCCCTCCTCAATCTTGTCGCTTCCAGATTGGTTGTATTTGCAGTTCCCATCTAGAAACCTGGGAGTTGCAGACCTGAAGAGTGCCAGACTGGCTAAGATTGCCCTAAGCTCAGCAAAGACAACATGTAATTGCAGGAAAGCTACCTTTGTTCACCTCATTCTTACTTATTGTTCCTAAGTCCGATGAAAGATGGTATTAGTGTTAGTGGGGGAGAAAGAAGTTGGGGTTATAAATCTGAACGTGTGGAATGGAACCAAATCCACAAGAGGAATCTATTATTCTCCTTCCCCATCCTGCAGGGACTCCACACCATCCAACCCAAACTCCCTTGCCATTTTCCACAGCCCTTTTATGATAGCAAGACTAATGGTGGAAACCAATAGGGCCCATTGTGTGTGTGTTGCTGATCAATTTTTATGTTTCTATTCCACAGTTTTAACTGGATATGGTGAAGTCCAAAGCGGTCAGAATTGTAAATCTGTCCATTGAAACACTGCAAGCGGTGTACTTACGACAGTAGGCCTTGTAGATTTCATAACACATTTCTCTTTGTTGTTGTTTTTGTAGTGCTCTTCATAAGTGACAATTTTTTTAAGGTTTTTTTTTTTTGTAGTAAAGAAGGGTTGTATTTAGAGGCCAGTAGCTAGAGATCCAACCAGTAGATCTCCTGAAACACTATCTGGCCTTAAGGCCACCATCAAAGGAAGGCTGAGATAATTACTATTCATCCAGCTTCCAGAAATGTAATGTACCAGCAGGCAAAAAACAGTTCATCATGTAGTACAAAAATGAAAATAAACAAACTAAAAATGAAAAATGAAAAAAAAATCTAGTGCCATAGCTTTTCGTTGTTTCTCTATTTGGGCTTTGTTGTTGTTCATAACAGAATAGATATTATTTACCCATCTGAAACATGCAGCCTCATGTGGTCGTTGAAATGCTCAATTTGGTCAAACTTAGCTGGGCAGACAGAGCAAACGTAGGTCGTTCCCTCTGTGCAGGCCATCCCTCCAGCTGGAAGTGCCCTTGCCCCAGTGCTTGTTGTGCTAGATGTTCCGTTTGTGGCACTATGTAGAGCCACGTGTCTTTCAAGCAGGGTCTTGTGTGAAAACTTTTTCTTGCAAATGTAGCATTCGTAAGATTTCTCCCCACGGTGGAGCCGCATATGCACATTTAGGGAACTCTTCTGCGTAAAACGCTTATTACAGATACTGCATTGGTAGGCTCTGACACCAGTGTGAGTCACCATGTGTTTGATTAGGTAATCTTTTAGGGAGAAGGATCGCCAACAAATGCTGCACTGGTGGGGCTTCTCACCTGCACAATGATCACAAATGGAAACACAAAGAGAAAGAAAAATAACATTTAATTAGGAAAAAATGCCAATGAATTCTGCTATAACATATTTTTCCTGTTACGCAGTATACTGTTATTTATTTATCAACCAAATTTATATGGCTGCCCATCTCTGTTTGGAAAGTGAATTTGGGTGGCATACAACAATCCAGTAAAGCAATAGAAATATAAAACAGTCATTATCTAATAATTATTTTAGAAAGCATTAAAACTATAGAAAAATCCAGAATAAAAAATACTCATGAAGATGGATAGAGAGGGGAAGGAAGTGAGTCGTGTGAATGCAGAGGGGGCCACTGGTAAGTAATCTATACTTGTTGTCTCTGTGCTTATGATGAATAGCAAACCTATCTGATGGTTGTGGGGAAATGCCCTAGTCCAAAACTGACAGCACCACTGTTCTGCCAAACTGGGCATCAACTCTTGTCTGGACATCAAGTAGGTAAAGTTTAACAAAGCCCAAGAGCATGGACCAAATAGCAGGCTGTCGAGATCAGGTAGTGATATCCAGGGCTTTTTTGGTCATAGAACGCCCAGAACGGAGTTCCGGCACCTTTTTTGGATGGAACCTTGTAAGGGTAGGCAAGGCGGGTTGTATGACATGTGTGAGTTCCGGCACCTTTTTTTTTTTTTTTTTACAAAAAAAGCACTGGTGATACTCATTTATACAGCATTGTCCCCTCCTTTCTGACTGATACTACATGACATGGAACCATGCACTTGATTTGCCTTGCACTGCCACAATTATCATGGAAATCAAGTTAAGACTTTTTCACCTGTATATTTTTACTCTCTTAAAGGTGGGTGATGTCAAACCCAGATTTTGCCATAGGTTTTTATTTTATTTAACTAAGGGCCAGATTTACACGAAAGACGGTTTATTTCCTCTGGTGCTGGCCAGCCACTTTGATCCAACATGTTTTGCTCCAGGTTTCTTCAATTAAAAACTGTCATCTACTAGAACCCCATAAGTGTGCCTTCTCTGTTGTGGTTCCTGGTCTCTGGAATATGGTTGCATCAGAGATTTAGGCATTTCAGAGGGACTTAAAGATCTGTCTCTTTGCCATATTTTGGACTAGGGTGATCAGACCCCATTCTTAGTAAATGTTGCTAATAGGATTCACCATCTTATTCATTGTATGTATTATTGTTTGTTGTTTTGTTTTATGTTGTGAGCTGCCCAGAGTTGATTGCAGTTGGGTGATGTCAAGTAAGTAAATAAGTACGTAAGTGCCAATAAGATTATTGATTCATATGCATCAATGTGAATTGGGCTATTCATTGAAGAAGAAATATGCTCAACTGAGGGCAAAACATTTTCTATCCATAAGAATTGTTTTGTATGCTTTTGCATCCTCAGATGAAGAACAGACAGACTAGGCATGCAAAATAGGGGATTTTAATGTCTCATATTCAGATTTGGAAGCATACTTTTCTTCAGAACCTTATTTGTTGATCTTCATTTTGGAAAAAGTCTACAAATCCTTCTTCCAATGCTGAACCCACATACCTCTCTGGCAATTTTATATTGCCCATCTTATTATAAAGTTATGGAATTATTATTTTAGCCACGATATGCAATTTTGAGACCGTTGTGCTTGAACTGAATTAAAATCTCTGCAATTTCTATTAATACCAACCCTTCTTCCCATCTCTTTTTCTTTCTTGATAAATTCAGGATAATCGGCCCATCCAACCTGACATCTTCCTAGATTTATTTTTTTTGCACAAGACAGATAAGAAGGAATAATTTTATAGAGTTGGAGAATAGGCATTCTTTAAGAACTTTTGAAAGATCAGGTTAATTTAATCCTATTGAAAGAGCATGCTGCATTGCAATGAAATCTGAGAGTTGTTATATAGTCTGTGGAGGCCTGGAATGGAAAACAACTGAGGGCAATAGCACTGTTGATTTGATGTGAAGATACAGCTCCATCAGAGCCCACTCACAGAAGGGTTCACCAGTACAAATGCCCATGCATTGTTCTCTCCCTTGCAGACCAGGTCTGTGCATCTTGATTACAATTGTAAGCAAACATGAGAATAATAAAAAGAGACTATTAGTCTGCAGCTACATAACAAGAAAATACAAGGAAAGTTCCTATGATGCAATTGCTAGAGTTATTGGAAATATAGCAAAGGTAAACCAAATAATTGCTTTTGAATGCATGCAGTACAGAGACTTTTCTAGCCAAAGTCACCTCTGCTATATTAGGTTCCTTAAAAAGCTTCAGTGCAGGCACAGAGTTCCTTATGTGTGATGCAAATAGTCCATGATGAAGAATATAGCAATGCAGGATGCTGTCAGTAGTTGTTGAAAGGTTTGATATTCTTTTTTTCAGAATAAATGTCACTTTCATCAGTGTGAATGACACAGATCAATCTGACAGAAAAAAGGGAATGATGTGGTTTTCTACATATTTATCCTGCCTTGACACAAAATTCTTCATTGGTAAATTTTCACAATGAAGTATCAGAGTTAAACAGCTGTCAGCTTATGTCACACAATAAAAAGTTGACATTCATTGAATTGCTACTACTTCAAAATGAGAATAATGTCAATTCTTGTCACAACCAATGGGTCAAAACTCAGTTGACCTGAAAAAAGTGGACACTGCACTTCCAGGAAAACATTAGGAAGAAAAATAAAATTAAGGAATATATATCTAAAGTGAGAGCCAGTTTGGTGTAGTGGTTAAGGCATCGGGCTAGAAACCAGGAGACTGTAAGCTCTAGTTCTGACTTAGGTACAAAATCAACTGGGTGATCTTGGGCCACTCACTTTCTCTTAGTCCTAGGAAGGAGACAATGGAAAACTACTTCTAAAAAACTTTGCCAAGAAAACTGCAGGAACTTATCGAGGCAGCATCTGAGAACTGGAAACAATTGAAAATAATCTAAATTAATTTAATGCGTTTCTAGATGATTAATAGTTTTTGAAATTTTATTTTAATTTTTAGAGGCAAAAGGATACTATAATTTGTGCTAAAAGAAGAAAAGAAATTGCAGAGAAGCTGAACACATTATTTCCTTTTATCGTCATATGGGAAAAGTTGAGACAGATTTCTGAGCTGCTGCTCCTGTGTCAGGGACAGTGATAAATTGAGCCATATAATAGTGACAAGGGAAGAAGCACTGAGCTTTATTGACAAATTGAACATAAAACAAATCATTTGATCCCAATGACACTCACCTAAGGACTACTAAGGAATTTGAATCTGGGACTGTGGATCTTTTAAGTAAAATATGCAACCTGTAAAATTCAGCCTCTGTAGTTGACCCGAATAAAGGTAGTCCTTGACTTACGACCACAATGGAGCCCAAAATTTCCACTGCTAAGCAAGACAGTTGTTAAGTGAATTGTGCCCCATTTTACAAGCTTTTTTGTCATAGTTATTAAATGAATCACTGCAGTTAAGTGAATCATGCAATTGTTAAGCAAATCTGTCTTCCCTCGTTGGTTTTGTCGGAAACCAACTAGAATAGTTACAAATGGTGATCACATGACCCAGGGACAATGCAACTATCATACATGCTAGTTGTTAAGTGCCGAATTTTCATTAGATGATCATGGGGATGCTGCAATGTTTCTAAGTGTGAAAACTAGTCATTCTTTTTTTCAGTGCTGCTGTAACTTCGAACAGTCACTAAATGAATGGTTGTAAGTCAAGGACTACCTATATAATTCCCAATTTTAAGAAAAATCCAGGAAATTATGGGCCTGTCTATTTAACTTCTGTTCCAGGTGAGATAAAATATGAAATATTTGAGACATAGTCCTTGCTCAAGATTACCCAATATGGTTTCACTAAGGGTAGGTCCCATCTAACAAAACTATCAGGGTTTTTTTCTCAGTGTGAATAATCTAATTACATGCAAACCTAATCTAATTACATTTTCAAAAAGCTTTTGATAAAGTGCCAGATCAAAGACTTGTCAGTAAGTTTTAAAGCCATGGAATAAAATGGCAAGTCTTCTTCTGTATAAACAATCGGTTAAAGAATAGAAAACAAAGAACAGAACTAAGTGGACATTTTTTACAATAATGGAAGGATATAACCAGTAAGAGTGCCCCAGGATTCTGTTCTAGGACCAATGCTTTTTATCATATTTATAAATGATTTGGAATCAAATATGACTAACTGAATAGCCAAGTTTGCTGATGGCACTAATAGTAAAAACTATAAAAGAGTAGTAAAAACTATAAAGCACTATAAAGAGCTCTAACAGGATCTCTGCTCATTAGGGAATT